CTTCACAGAAAAAGTTATTATCCTCTACAACTTTCATATTTGAATTCTTTAAGAATTCTTTAACATGTCTGATGTTCTGATGACATAGCCGTTCGTGCCATAACTGCAATGTGTTCGCGTTTGACTCCGCTCTATTGCTAAAATTACAAACTGACGGTATCATAACTCGCATATCTACTTTATACAAATTTCCGATAACAGAATCTCTTGCTATTATTTTCTGATTTTGTGAAAATATACACTTGGTCCCTTCCTTTGAAACACAGAAATCTATGCCCCTTCTTGCGACAGATCTAATGGAAAATAGATGTTACGCCACGAGGCTTACCACAGGCTGTATTTTCTAACCGTCGCTCGCGGTCCTACAGTGTTGCAGGCAGACCGTCTTATCTGCCCGCCGGATCATATACAATGTATCGACGAGAGCATAATTGTCGCCAAGCAGCGAGCTCTAGAAACGTCGATTTTTGACCGTTACGTTTTTCACACAAGAAGAGGCATACGTGATCATAAGCGCGAGCGGTGGCGTGACCCGAGCATAGTGTCGTCTTCCTAATGAGACAAAGGAATAATCGAAGGGCGATCAGTTCCTTCCGACGAGTCAAACGTAACACTTCGACAAATCTGACGAGCAAACGAATTTATCTAGAGATATCGTAACGTCAAGTCAAATTTTTGTAACATATTCATCATATAATTGTAAAACATATCATTCTATGTTAATCTGTTAATACAGTGTTACATTCATTAAACCACCTCTGTTATCTTAACCGAAACAGGGGAACGACTATTTCGCGGCGTCGATTAACATAATCGTAGCGAGAATTTACGCCTCTCGCTGACGCGTTTTCCTAGCGACAGCGTCTCTCCGCGAACGGTCGTAACGATAGATTTCTTTTCATACCTACAGAACACCGTTCATTGTACATGTTAGCCATTTGCTGTCCACAAAAGTTTCTACTCTGATTTTTCCTTTGCCGCACGCATCCATGAATGTACCATCGCCTATCTCTATCTTCACCGTGTTATCGAATTCTTCGAAGACGCCGAACCATTCCCGTCGTCCTGTCATGTGATCCGTAGCTCCTGAGTCGATTATCCAAACATCAGGGTTTGCCTTTTGTATCGCTGAGGTACTTCCTAATAGACAAATCGCGCTGTGATCCCGATTTTGATTTCTGGATTCCTGGTTGTCCCTACTGTTAGTTCTTTTGTTATTTTTAAAACAGTTTTTGCTGGTGTGGTCTTTCCTTTTGCATATAAAGCATTTAAAGCAATCCTTCTTTAGATGGCCAACTTTTCCACAGTTAAAGCAGCTTGGTCTTTGTTTCTCGTATTCACGTTTACTTGACTGCTTCTGCTATTCCTTTTTATAATTATTACTTTTTGTTACCGGTGCCACTGATGTTTCCTGGTCGTCTTTTTCCATCTGATTTCTTCCGTCATCAACCTGGTACTAAGCCTGTCTAAGGTCTTCTTTTCTTCTTCCACGGAATCCGACGCACTGTGAAAATGATCAAATTTGTTTGGTAACACCGATAAAATGCGTGTTATCAGCATTTTCTCGCCAATTTCACTCCCAAGGGCTTTCATCTTTGCCGCTATGAGTTCCAACTTGGATAGGTTGTAAGAGACATTTTCAGATTCTTCCCATTTAAAATCGAAAAACTGCTTCTGGGCCATATTTAAATTCTCATCCGACTTCATGTCATATACTGTATTCAACTTTTTCCACATTTCATGTGCTGTTGTGCAACATAAAAGAAGATCCAACGGTTTCCTTCCTATTGAGGTCATGATTAATTTTCTCGCTAATCGATCTGCTTTCAAAAATCTTTCACGAGCGATTTCTGTCTCCACGCTGTTACCTGGATGACACAGATTCCCTTCACACACGTTGATCAGGTCGTTATGTTCCTCCAAAAGTGTACGCATAACAAAACGCCACTGGAGCCAATTTTCTTCGCCGCGTCGATCTTCGTACTTGCTGATTCCATTTTAGCACTATCCCTTATTTTACTAAGCACAACACTTTAACAATTTATTCACTTCACGTTGCTACCTTGCATTTTCCATCCCTGGGCCCATAACGGGTTGAAGTTATTCGTTGTGTAAACAGAGAAAACACGTGGATAAATTGTAAGGCAGAAAAATATATTTAAATAGAAATGTAATAAGTAAGGATACAATTTGAGCTGGTCCAGATCCGCACGCTAGCTGTGTTACCCAATAACTGAAAAACCCCGAAGCCATCTGTTGAGATATGTATAATTTTCTGTGCTGGACTAGGTTAAAGGCATAATAGAGATACTTGTATGTGAATATCAGTGTGTGGAAGTATGTGTGTCCGAAGCGTCTCGAAAACAAAGGAATGTAAACAGTTCAATCCGTTAAGAGTCCGTTAACGGTCGGCTAAGAGTCGGTTAAAAGTCAGTTAAGAGTCGGTTAACAGCCGGGTACAAAAGAAAGTGCTGAAACGCGTGCATGTCTGTATCGTTTTGTCCATGAAATAAATATATCACTGTTTTAATATTAATCTTCAGTATAAATTTAGTGTTCCTATAACATTATTTCGGCCTCAAAGATCCACAATTCTCAACATGGTAGCAAAAATCGTGGTTGCCGAGATTCAATGTTAAGGAACCATGTGTAACCGGGAGTGAACGTATAGAAGTCGTGTGTGAATTCTTGTCGTGATTCTCTGTAGACAAACAGAGTTCGTTGTTCATTTTACATTCCTCAGTAGGAGCGATCTACTGAATTTTCGGACTAACGAAATGTGCGAACAGCGAATCCGCGTTGTTAATTAAAAGGGCACACCCACACCGAGCTTTCCTCAATTATTGTAACCTGTGCTGTGCTAATAAATAAAACTGATTAGAAAATAATGACAGTAGTTGTGTTACGACTCAACCTTCCTGTTTTATCAACTAACCCTCAAGATTACGTGACATTTTGGCGATCCAGCCAGGATCCATCAACTTCACGAAAACGAAATTACACACTTCGGGCTACGGTCAACTTTGAAGATTGAGGATCAGCGGACCACTGCAACACAGCAGACACTATTGACGAATCTTTCCTACGGGCTAAACGATCAAGGTGAGCAAACTCTGGATTCATTCGCCAAAAACAAAACGGGAAGAGACAACTGTTCTAGAAATTCAAGTACAGATAGCACAGACAGTAGAACTAGTATAATAATGGCAACGCTACGAGAAAATAAAACCGAAACTGTTGACACCGCTTCAACCAGTAGTGGGATAGACCCAATATTAAAGGCTATATTAGACGAAATACGGGAACAAAAGGAAGGAATTAAGATTCTCACACGACGTATAGACGAAATGGAGGATAGGTCAGCAAGAACACCCACGGGGAATGTATCAGGAGCCAGTTCCTTAATAACTACAGATGAAATACCTCAGACATCACCTCAACCGCCCGAGTACAGAACTTTCCCTGATCATTCTACACAATAAGAGCTTAAAGCTACAGACACAATAAGATGTATACCACAACTTAACAGCGAAAATGATATAAGAGTGGAAGAATTCATTAGAGAAGTCAAAGAGATGAGGGTAATGTGTAGTGAATAGTATTTCCTGGTAAAAATGATTATGTTGAGAATTGTGGATCTTTGAGGCCGAAATAATGTTATAGGAACATTAAATTTATACTGAGGATTAAGAATAAAATAATGAAATATTTATTTCATGGCAGCATTTTCTTCTATACCCGACTGTAAACCGACTCTTCGACGACTCTTAACCGACCCTTCGACGGACCTTAACCGACTGAAGAGTTTACATTCATCTGTTTTCGAGACGCTTCGGACACACATACTTCCATACACTGATATTCACATACAGGTATCTCTACTACGCATGTAACCTAGTCCAGCACAGAAAATTATACATATCTCAACACACCTCCTTAATTTTATCGAGTCGTGCAATCATTGTCCGCACTCGTAGCGCATCTCGAATCATAGCTATAACATATTCATTTCCTTTTATAAGTCAATCAAACTATTCTTAAAAATAATCTAAAATTTTCAAATTTGTTCCTCCCTGGAGCCTTCGTTAAAATATGAGCTATATTATTTTCTGAATCTATTTTTATAATGTCAATCTCTTTATTTTCGTAACTTTCGTTCACAAAATGGAAGTGAACTTCAATCTACTTAGAATTTTTTGTTAAGTCTTGAGTAAATCTGAGTTTTCTTTCCGACCCTATCACGACATATCACCTCACTTCTTTCCATGAAAGGCTGTCATCTCCACTTAAAGCTTCTTCATAGGTTTGAGGACTGTCTGCGCTAACTACACTCACATAAATGAAATATCAGCTCGCTTGGCCATATCTTTGAGGTTTCTTTCTTTCCCGTTCTGACCTTCTCAAATTATTTTCAGTGTTCTCAAGTTTACTTTCTGATTCGTTACCTAAATTTCTCTCCTCTTTTATTGTGACCTGCTCGACCTTTTCGTTTAAATCCTTTTCTGTTTCATCGTTTGGTCCATCTTCTCCTTGAAATCCTACTAAATTATCATCTTCACCTATAAATTCTACGTGTCTTGCAATTATAATTTTATTATTAACTAGGATCCTATATCCATTGTTTTCATAACCTACAAGTATCCCAGTATCTGCTTTTTTGTCCCATTTCTACTCTGATCCATTTTCATCTCACACTTCTTATTATCCTACTCAATGTTTATTCCTAAGTAAGTCTTTACTTCACCTAAGTCCTTCATCGCAAATTGGTTTGACAATTTGTTTTTAATCTCATCTATTTTTCTTTTGTTTTTTCCACATATTAATAAGTCGTCTACGAATAGAATTAAATATATAACATCATCGCTCGCATACTTCATATACAGACAATAATCACTCTTACTTCTTTGAAATCCTAATTTTTTCATATACTCGTCGAAACATTCATACCAAGCTCTTGAACTTTCACGCAATTCATATAACGCTTTTGATAATTTACATACTCTCCCGCTTTTATCGTCGTAACCTATAGGTTGTTTTACAAATACTTCCGTTTTTATACTTCCGTTTAGGAATGCTGTTTCTACATCCATTTGCATAATCGTCAAACCTTATTGCCAAACCAAAGCTTTTCTCAACGAATCCGATGCCTTCGCATCCTTAGACACATCCCAACGCAGTCTTCCTCTGCAGCAGCATGGCGACAAAAAGTCAGTCTATTACAGCGGGTCAACATACCACGATCGTTATACTTACACGGTTCGAGTCGAATAATTAATCGAGTCGTGCAATCATTGTCCGCACTCGTAGCGCCTCTCGAATCATAGCTATCCACGCTACTTCCGTACAATCTTAAATTATTTATATTCGGTTTCCTTTTAAAAAATATTTCAAACGGTGTTTTATTTTCATACGTGTTCGTAATGGTTCTAGTTTTTAATTGCGCCGCAGCTCTAATTATTTCCGGCCAATATTTAATATTCAGCTTTGAATCATATAATAAGCATCTAGCGGAATTCATAATTGTTCTATTGTAGCGCTCAGCTGTTTCATTTAATTCGTGAACATAAGGTGGGCATGGCTCTACGACAATTCCTTTTGCCCTAGTTAGATTGTACATGTTTTTGTTCTTCATTCTTTGCCATTATCGCATCTTAATCTCTTTATCTTCTTACCAGTAAGATTTTCAACTTTGTTCATGTAATCAAGAAAACAATTGTAAACTTCATCTTTTGATCTCAAAGTATAAATCAATGCACACTTATTGTAGTCATCTATAAATGTTAAGAAATATTTGGATCCATCAAACCCGGTATTTTTTGAGGTCCATTTAAATCGGTATGTACTAATTCTAAAATCTCTCGTGCTCTACTACGGTTGTGTTGGAAGGGTAAATTGTGCATTTTATTTTGGATACATGTACCACATTTTAATTTTACTTGTTCAAAATTTTCTGGCATTCCCTCAACTATTTTTTTCGTACACATTGTGTCTAAATAATTAAAGTTTACATGCCCTAAGATCCTGCAAAATTTTTCTTTATTTGTCATTTTCCCCACAATTTTAGCGTGAGATTCTTGCCTTTCAATATAATTACTTATTTTATATAAACCATTATCTTTGAATGCAATTCCTATCAACTTTCTGTATTTGTTATCTTTGAAATATTTCCTGCTGAGACTATCTTATTTTCATTCGTTACTCTCGCATAGCTAATCAAGTTATTGTTCATTTCTTTCACATAAAATACATTAGACATTATAGTTTTAATCCTCCTTTTGTTTACTTCAAAGTAAGTTAAAATTCACATACTGATATTCACATACAGGTATCTCTACTACGCATTTAACCTGGTCCTGCATAGAAAATTATACATATCTCAACAGATTAAGACTGAGAGAATTTCGGGAAAAGCAGCTATGGCAATACGTAATGTGCATATCTCAGAATACGCACATTTATATGAAGCATTACCACAGAACGTAGCAACTCGAACCTCGGTCCGTGAAAACCAGTATCAATTACGAGACACTAGACAAGGGTTTAACGAAAGCGTACAAAGCTATATTACTCGATTTAGACAGTCGTACAACGAATTACAGTATAGCATTACCAACGAATACCTAGACGAAATAAACAGAGGCGCCGTGAGCGACAGAATTATGAAAGATTCAATAACAGACTTTATTCGAGGATTAAAAATAGAAATGGGACAAATTCTACTTACCACTCCGCCGCACAATTTTATTGAAGGCGAGATACGCGCCATCGAAATTGAAAAATATCAGAGAGAATCAAACCTACATAGAAACAGAAACTCACGACAAGACGACGGAAGATCAAGAAAAATTCCAAGCGTTAACAACACAACAGGCACACTCCTCACAATACGGTTTAACACAAGAACGGGACATGTAACACACATCATCGACAGGAGC